CCCCCCACCCCCCCCCCCCCCCCCCCCCCCCCCCCCCCCCCCCCCCCCCCCCCCCCCCCTCCCCCCCCCCCACCCCTTTCTTCCAGATGAAACTGAAGATTTCCGCCGGCGAATCGACGCCGACGAAACGCCAACGACGGCAAACCCAGTCCACAAGCCCAGAAAACCCCAAGTCCCAAACCCTAACCCAGCATCGAAACCAAGCCCACACCGCCCCCCAAACCCAAACCCTCCGCCTCAGCTTCGGCCGATGACGAGGATGAAGACGGCGGCGGTCCAACCTCAGCCCCTCTCTCGCTCCGCCCCGCCGCCGTGGGCACTCGTCCCATAAGCCCAGCTTCTCGAAGAATCGAGCTCCTTCATCGGGCCCCACGCCTCCGATCCCTTTTAAATGTCCAGGCCGCAGGCCGGAGAGTATACAAAGGAGAGGTTGTTGGAGCTCCAGAAGAACGCCTCGGCCTCTCGCAGCCTGCCGACGGCCTTCAGAAACCCGATAGCCCAGTCGCAATTCCGAACCCGTTATCGTCCTTAAAGGCCTCCGTGGAAGCCCCCAATCGTCTCCTATTGATCCGGACCCTAAGCGAGAAAGAAAAGAAGAGGTGAGGAGGAATCAGATGGAGCAGAGGAAGATAAGTTTGGGCGAATTGGGTATTGATGGTAGAGGGAAAGGTTTGTCTTCGATACCGGAGCCAGGCTCATATAGCTCGCCATTAAAGCCCGGAAGGCAGAAAGGCTCCGGCCAGCAGTCGTGGAGCGCGGAGCGGATTTTATATCACTTGACAGCTGGATGGAGTGATGGCTACTCGGGCATCGGATGGTGGTCTATGATGAGCGAGCATCATGAATTTAGATGGTAGGATTGCTTGTTTGCGTGATGATAGGGGATGAGCAATCGAAAAAAGGTGGTTTTCGAGGAGGTTTTAGGGAGAGGGCCTCCAAGTTGTTGATACTAGGGTTGCTGAGAGATTGAACGCAGAGGATTGATGAGGGATGAAGAGGAGCGAAGATCGGGAAGAGGAAGCAATTTCGAAAGGGGTTGCGAAAAGGATTGAAATCATTGAGGAATATCTGTCCATAGAGGTGTTAAGCGGTGTTAGCCCTCAGATGCCACAGCCACAGAATTTATATCATGCTGTTGGTCCTCGCCGTTCGGTGCCTGGAAGTTACGCCTTTTCTTCTCAGACAATGTCATATCTCAACAGGCGGAGATTGCTACACGGGCCTCTCAAGGAAGAACATCATAAGGCTGAAGGACTCTCACAAGCCGAACGAATATGGCATCCGGGGCGAAGACAGATTAGAAAACTTAGCAGATGCTCTTTCTGATATCACCAGTATGGAGAAGTGGCCTTCAAGAAGCGGGGACAGGTATATTTTCATGCCCAAACAGCTTCCGAGACTTCAATTTCTGTAGACATGTGATTTCTTGTAAGGACAAGGCTTTCGTGATTAGAGGAGCTTGGAGGAGGAGATCAGGAGCTCCATGAGAAGACGGGGCAGCAGCTGTGGAAAAGAGAAGAGCTGTGCCATGATATCGTGGATAAACCGGGGAAGTTGAGTCTGGGGTTAGTGCACCATGTTCGGTCCTCAGCAAAAGGACTCTCGGCCTGCCTTATGTTATCTGCCTGCCACAAATGCAGCACAGCGTATGCTTTAGCTGCAGTGAGAGAGAGCTCGAATTTGCCGGTTCAATTGGATGAGTTTGGAAGGGATGTTAATCTACAGAAGCGTATGGATTTCTCACGGCGAGCTGAGGCAAGGAAGCGAATAAGAGCGCGGGCTGATTCTAGAAGAATGACTTCTATTGGCAAGCAGTTAGAAGGAGAGGTTACCACCGATGAGAGTGACCGTGAGAGCACTGCTTACACTTCTACAAGGGATGAATTGCTTCAAACAGCTGAGCAAATCTTTAGCGACGCAGCCGATGAGTACTCAAACCTTTCTGTTGTTAAAGAAAGGTTTGAGAGATGGAAGAAGCATCACTTCTCAAGCTACCGAGATGCCTACATGTCTTTGAGTGCACCTGATGTCTTCTCTCCATATGTGAGATTGGAGCTTCTGAAATGAGACCCTCTTTATAATATGACCGATTTCGAAGAAATGAAATGGTACAAGCTTCTTTTTGATTATGGGTTACCAGGAAGAGATGAAGATTTTGATCCTGAAGATGCCGATGCGAATCTTATCCCAGAGCTAGTAGAAAAGGTAGCTCTCCCCATCTTGCACCATGAAATCTTACACTGTTGGGATATGTTCAGCACAAAAAGAACGGAGAATGCTGTATTTGCCACTAATTTAGTCGTCACATATGTTCCAGTCTCGAGTAAGGCCCTCCAAGAGCTACTATCAGTTGTTTGCTCTCGGCTCACGCAGGCCATTACCGACCTCAGTGTTCCGGTGTGGAGCTCCGTCGTGACGAGAATTGTGCCTGGTGCTGCTCAATTAGCTGCTTATCGATTTGGGACATCAGTTCGGCTCCTGAGGAATATTTGTCTGTGGAAAGATGTACTGTCACTGCCAGTTCTAGAGAAGCTTGCTCTTGAAGAGCTCTTAAAAGGGAAGTTACTCCCTCATATGGAAAGCATAATGTCGAATGTCCATGATGCTATAACTAGAATGGAGAGGATTGTTGCATCAATGTCAGGGGTTTGGTATGGGCCTGAGGTCACAGTAAATCACAGCAAGAAGTTGCAGCCTTTGGTTGATTGCGTGGATAAACTAGGTCGGAAGTTGGAGAAGAGGCAGGCGTCAGGGGTGAGCGAGGAGGAGACCGTTGGGCTTGTTCGGAGATTGAAGACGATGTTGGTTGAGTTGAATGCGCATGATAGAGCTAAATCTTTGCTGAGGACCTTTCATCTGAAAGAAGCAATTTGAACAAGCATTGTAGGACCAATTTTTGTGCACCTTGTATCAAAGGTCTGGTTTATTCGAATCTCGGTTCTGTCCAATTTTGAGGTGGATATGTTTGGCATATTATTTTTCGGATATTTACCTCAACGTATGGTGCATGTGTGTTGCACGTGAGGCCATTTCAGGCTAAATTTTTCAAAAGTTGTTTTTCATGTGCATTGCACGTGCGGCCATTTTTAGTATAAATTTCTCAATAATTGTTTTTCGTAAACTCCAGTTTTCAAACTTCAATGTAAATTTTGTGAGATAAGAAATGAGTGCATTGATAAAAAGTTAAGAGATTGCTTGAATTGAGGGTAAGACACGAGTAAATCAACTGAGATGGTTTGACCTTGTGCAATGGAAACCTTTAAATGCACTAATAAGAAAAATTGGCACTGCTATAATTAATGGAGAAAGGACAAGAGGTATTCTACTTTTGCATTATATACACATCTTCTGATTTCTGAGCTATGAAACCTAGTGGTTTCCATGTAGACGTCCTCAACGGAAACACCATTAAGGAAGGTATTTTTGGTATCAAACTGGTATAATGACCAAAGGTAACTGGCTGCAGGAGAAATTGGGAGTTATGCACATGTCATGTTTGCCACAGGGTGATGGGGGGTAATTTACCTTGGTAGTCATCTCTATATGTCTGTGCGTACTCTTTGGCCATCAACGTTTTAGATGATACCTAAATCTGAACTGATATCCAACAATCTCTATTACGTCACGATCTCTTCTTTTGCACATCTTTGTGCTAATCTGGATTGTACATAGCTTCTGAAACAAACCTAAGATCTGTGTAAGATTTAATTGGGAAAAAAGCACTAGAAGGCAAGTAATAAAAATAAGCCAAAAAATTAGGTATGCAACTTGTTTTACCCTTACAAATAACATACAATTGGACTGAAAATCAAGATCAATGCTGGGAGTAATATTTCCAAAAGTGTTGTTCTTGCTAGATTTTGAATTATGAATTAGAGCAGAAGAAGAGATTGACACAATTATTCATGCATCGTATGAAATGGAATGATTTGCTGTTGAATCTGCACGCTACATTCATATTTCATGCATCAGGTGTTTTGAAAAGGTTTTGACTGCGAAATATATTGTGGGAGAGTGCTGCCTTAGTCATATTCTTCTTTTTCCACTCTGATGCATCTCAATACTTTATTTGTGCATTCTTCTAGACCAAGCTTTGTCATGTACAGCAGAGATTGATTTCTTTATGCTTCTGCCCTTCAATGTTCTTTTACAGAGGCAGCCAGGATTCTGAATAAAAAATATTTCAGTGGAGGTTAGTTGTTGGTTATTTATGTTTTTCTCCAAATATTGACTCTGGTTAATGAATTTGTTACAAAAATCTTGAATCTTTCAGGTACTGTTTCTGCTTAAATAGCTGATGTTGACCTTGTAAATAGAAGGGAAAGCATCGAGCAATTGCTTGAAGATGGCACACTTCCATTCTTGAGCATTGAATGCGCATGATAGAGCTAAATCTTTGCTGAGGACCTTTCATCTGAAAGAAGCAATTTGAACAAGCATTGTAGGACCAATTTTTGTGCACCTTGTATCAAAGGTCTGGTTTATTCGAATCTCGGTTCTGTCCAATTTTGAGGTGGATATGTTTGGCATATTATTTTTCGGATATTTACCTCAACGTATGGTGCATGTGTGTTGCACGTGAGGCCATTTCAGGCTAAATTTTTCAAAAGTTGTTTTTCATGTGCATTGCACGTGCGGCCATTTTTAGTATAAATTTCTCAATAATTGTTTTTCGTAAACTCCAGTTTTCAAACTTCAATGTAAATTTTGTGAGATAAGAAATGAGTGCATTGATAAAAAGTTAAGAGATTGCTTGAATTGAGGGTAAGACACGAGTAAATCAACTGAGATGGTTTGACCTTGTGCAATGGAAACCTTTAAATGCACTAATAAGAAAAATTGGCACTGCTATAATTAATGGAGAAAGGACAAGAGGTATTCTACTTTTGCATTATATACACATCTTCTGATTTCTGAGCTATGAAACCTAGTGGTTTCCATGTAGACGTCCTCAACGGAAACACCATTAAGGAAGGTATTTTTGGTATCAAACTGGTATAATGACCAAAGGTAACTGGCTGCAGGAGAAATTGGGAGTTATGCACATGTCATGTTTGCCACAGGGTGATGGGGGGTAATTTACCTTGGTAGTCATCTCTATATGTCTGTGCGTACTCTTTGGCCATCAACGTTTTAGATGATACCTAAATCTGAACTGATATCCAACAATCTCTATTACGTCACGATCTCTTCTTTTGCACATCTTTGTGCTAATCTGGATTGTACATAGCTTCTGAAACAAACCTAAGATCTGTGTAAGATTTAATTGGGAAAAAGCACTAGAAGGAAAGTAATAAAAATAAGCCAAAAAAATTAGGTATGCAACTTGTTTTACCCTTACAAATAACATACAATTGGACTGAAAATCAAGATCAATGCTGGGAGTAATATTTCCAAAAGTGTTGTTCTTGCTAGATTTTGAATTATGAATTAGAGCAGAAGAAGAGATTGACACAATTATTCATGCATCGTATGAAATGGAATGATTTGCTGTTGAATCTGCACGCTACATTCATATTTCATGCATCAGGTGTTTTGAAAAGGTTTTGACCGCGAAATATATTGTGGGAGAGTGCTGCCTTAGTCATATTCTTCTTTTTCCACTCTGATGCATCTCAATACTTTATTTGTGCATTCTTCTAGACCAAGCTTTGTCATGTACAGCAGAGATTGATTTCTTTATGCTTCTGCCCTTCAATGTTCTTTTACAGAGGCAGCCAGGATTCTGAATAAAAAATATTTCAGTGGAGGTTAGTTGTTGGTTATTTATGTTTTTCTCCCCACCAAAAAAAACACAGAATTTACAATTAATCTTCTGTTACGTTACATGTTGGTTATGGTGCAATATACAGCTACTATTTATTGTAGATTTTCATATCTCTGTTTGAATTGTTTTTGAGCAATGAAATGAAAGCAACCTGGTAGCAAGTCGGGCATAATTTGTCTTCATTTACTGTATGTCATACAATGAAGTGAATACCATCACTTGTTATGAATACTTGTACATGATCAGGTTAATCCAATGTTTTCTAATCTACCTTTCTTTGTGCATCCTCATTTACTAAACTAGTTTCAAGCCGTATTCCATTTGAAATGATTCATCCACAATCCAATATCATTTTGGAGTATGGTTAATACATGTTAGAATATAAAAATATAAATCTCAACCCTCACCATAATTTTGGAGTTTTGGTGTAATGGTTAGAGGGACCTTAAGATGGTACTAGAGCAACCCAAGTTCATATCCCACCGACCGTAAATTTAAAGCGGATTTTTCTAAAAATTAACACCACTGCGTCCAGAATTCGTCCAGAATTCGGCCCATAAAAAAGGGTGCTTAACCTGCGAGGGCATATTAGAATATAATAATATAATCCTAAACCCTCATCATAACTTCGGAGTTTTGATGTAGTGGTTAAAGGGACCTTAAGAATACAATAGAAAATCATTTCTCGTTCTAAAGATGTATTGTTTTCAGTACTCACTTTATCTTTCCACCAATCCACCCATGCTATACAACACATTAAATAAGTGATCGGACTTACTGCTTTCCTTTTTTTGCCCTTTTATATTTGGCGCAAATCTTATTCTGAAATTCTTAGAGAGAATTCATATCCTAACCAGGAGAGCAAGAAAAATTCTATAGGACAATTAAAAGACCAACACCATTTTATGGATCACAATGTTGGGCAATTAAGAAATGACATGCGCAGAGACATGATTATAGCAGAAATGAAAATGGTAGAATGCATGTGTGGATATACAGTAAGAGATGAGATAAGAAATGAGTGCATTGATAAAAAGTTAAGAGATTGCTTGAATTGAGGATAAGACACGAGTAAATCAACTGAGATGGTTTGACCTTGTGCAATGGAATCCATTAAATGCACTAGTAAGAAAAATTGGTACTGCTATAATTAATTGAGAAAGGACAAGTGGTAGGCCTAAGAGAACTTGATTTTAACCAATTAAGAAAGATACAATAATGGTTAACTTAGCGGAGGAGATAACCTTAACAAAACTGAATAAAAGAATGATTCTTGTAAATAGTAGGTTCAAAATTTTGTTGTTCTCCTTGTTTTTCACTTGTTCTCCTTGTTATTCTAATCACTTACGTATTAGATCATCTGCAATTTCCTTGAGGTGTCTTTTAATTTACGCATTATCTTGGTTGTGATGCATTATATAGTAACCTTATCAGATGTATAATAAGCTGTAACTGTAAAGCAACGTGAGCATATGATCCTCGAGTAAAGGTGTTGATGCTGCTTACTGTTGTATTTAGCTTTTGAATTATTAAAATTCTTTTTGAATAGAAATTTGTATTAACTCTTCCTTTATTATTCATCATTATGTCACTTGAGCAATCTTTCTTCGCAAGATGTTGTATTCTGCGTGCAAGTATTTAACATATTCCCCCCTTTTTAGGCATACAGCATCTCTTGCCACCTATGTGAGGAATGCTATAGTGAGCTTGAAGCATGAGAATGGATCAGATCTCTGCACACTTTATGGAAGCAACATGACCAAGGTTTAGATATGTATATGTAGTTAATAGACAATTGATTCCTTAGTGTCTCTTTATTCGTGTTATTACTTTGCGAAGTTGCTGTTGGTTACTGAATATGTGAAGTATGTATGCGGTTAGTTTAGCATTTTGATTTCCGTTTTGTGAGATAGAAATGGATAGCTTTTGGGGATTCTGCTTTGAAACGTTAATGTTATATTTCCTATATCAAATTGGTCTTTGGGATTCAATTTAATGCATCTTGACAAGAGTGAATGTGAGATAATGCATTTGATATTCTAGTCTTGCTGTTACTTTTGCAGAATTTACATGTTTATAGTGACTAATTTTGCATTGTAGACACCGCACTTGTAACATAATGCATACATATGCAATTTTACAGTGTGTAAAATATATCTGCATCAGGCTTCTCTATTTTATTCATTATACTCATTGTTTCTACATAATTTTTCTTTTTTGTTTCTTTCCAAGGTGTTACCTCCTGATCTGGGTCCTACAATTGCATTCAATTTGAAAAGGGATGATGGGTCATGGTTTGGATATCGTGAAGTGGAAAAATTAGCTTCTTTATCTGGATTCTGGGATCCAGTTGCGGGTAAGTTTTGACAAATGCCAGTCATTAAGTGTAGTAACTTTTTCTCAAATAACTATGTTTTGCAACTTGTTCTTTCTCTTCACACAGACATGCATAGACATCTGTGGCACGATAAAAGGGAGATTTGAAAATTTCTAAAAGCTTATCAAATTAAGCCATAGGCATAGTCAACAAATAAATGTCTTCAATCGTGCCATATTTTTGTCTGTGGATAGACAAACTCTCGTGTACACGTGTAATGTATATATGTAACTGCGTGTGTACAAAATGCAAGATGTTGTAGGTGACCTGGAGATATACATGTCAGTTCATATGAAACGGGACAATACTGCATTCAACCTACAATATGACAGCTACTATACATATGATAGCATTTTGTGTCTCAGGTGATAAGACTTTCTATATAGCCTAAATTATGCAATATGTTTATGCATAAACATGTTTATGTGCCCACATCTCTACTGCAGAAATATTTGAATCTTGTTAAAATACGAAAGACCTATGCTAGACCTGGAGGGGTTACATTTGAAAAGTATCAAAAATGTCTTTCACGCTGAATTTCTGCTCAAGCTTAATGATAATGATACATTGTTAGCATGGTCACCTTTTGACATGGTTTCCACTTGATGGCTTTATTGTAGACAGGCTGCTTCTGCTATCCGTGCATGTGCAATCCTGGTGCATGTGCTAAAAATCTTGGTTTGTCTCATTCTGAACTTCTTTCCAATATTGAGGTACATCACATCCTTGCATATTGTTTTTATTGGTTTGCTAATTGCACTTTTTTAATGGATCATTAAAACAGTCTCAAAGTTTTCATTCTATTACAAATTTAATGATTTCATTTATTCCTTTTAGCACTTCATTTTGTGTTCATTTAACCCTCATTTCAGTCTTTAGATGAATTCATTATAACAGTTGGCAAATTTGACACATACGTCCTGTAGGATTTCATTTGTTTTGCAATTAACCCTTTATCCAAATGAACCTTTATCCCTAAAAGGTTGTAAGTGATGCTGACACCAGTGTCCATTTTATCATTGCTTACTGAAACCTTGGCTGCATCTTTTCTTCCTATTGACTGTTAATCTGTTATTGAGTGGTACGAGGAGAGACTCCTTATTCCATTCTATCCTAATAAATGCACCTTTAGCATTCATTTAAATACCGGGCAACATGACTGCAAATTTGAAACATTACGGAAACCGTAACTAAGTAATTTTAATTTCAGTTATGCTACTTGCCTGCAAACTCAATAGATGATGAACATGCAATGCTTACACTAGTACAGTAGAACTTAAATGTAACACTGATATTGGTATTCATGGAAGGCTGGCCATGTTTGCTGGGATGATAACGACATATTGAATGGGAAACCAACAGGTGCTGTTAGGGTATCATTCAGTAATATGTCAACATTTGAGGATGCAGAGGTAAATTACCACCTATTTGTTTTTCAACTGCTTTAATTCCTATTGGGGCATTGATAAATTCTTATTTTGCGTGTAAGTTGTAATTTTATAGGTCATTTTGCAAAATTATTGTTCCTACCTTCCAATGATATATGTACAGCAAAGAAGAAGAAGCTTTTCTCTTTCTGTGGAGATTTGGAATCTGTCCCGAGATATGTCTACGTGATTTTTCCAATCTGATTTATTTGCAAAGGCACTTAAGCCCTTTTAGCATCTGATTAGTGTTTATGCTCTAACTCTTGCTTGCATGGATGCAACAAATTTAAGCTATTTGTACTTGAAATGTAGGTCTTCTTCTCAGGATCACGTTAAGCTTTTTTAGGATCACAACTTGAAATGTAATCTTCACAAGTCAGGTTCTCAAATTCGATAAGTTTTTGCCTATATTTAAGAATTGTTTGACCAATGGATCGCCAGGTGCCTTTGAGCTTGGCTCAATGATAAAGCAAGGGATTGGGTAATTGGGGGTACTAGGTTAAAGATCGGGATGCAGCCTCCATTCAAAGAAGAACAATGATGAATGAAAATAAATCAGCAGGAGGTCAATTAATTTACATCACAACTTTCTACAATCACAATTAAAGCTGCAACAACATTGGCACATGATTAGAGTTTGTTAACAAAAAGGTTAAAGGTGTAAAAAAGATGCACATAAATACAAATTACAGACAGACGCAACCCCAGCAGTTATTAGTATCAAAGGCATAGAATAAGCCCTTTACTTATAATATGGTCTTATTCTATGCCTTTGCTACTAGCTACTGCTGGAGTTGGCTCTATATGTTATTTGTACCTGTGGGCTTATCTGTTTTACATCTTGAACTTTTTGTTAACAAACATGTAAGTAATCATGCGTCAACATTGTTGTAGCTTGATGTGATTCTGGTTTTTTTTATTGCTTTAGATTTAAAACTATCGGCAAGTTTGAGATATTGCATTAAGACTACTTTCTGCCATCCCTGACATCTCTGCTTCTCAAACATCAAAAACTAACATTGTCTACTAGAGGACTTTCAGCCTATTCTATGTGGCCTACAATATCCTAAGGGAATTTGTTTCCTATGCAGCTGTATGCTTGTAGTGTGACTAAATTCTTCTGTGCTACTATCCTTGATGCCCAGATTGCAAAGGAAGTATGATGTTCTCTGAACAAAGAGTATGGTGTTGATTCACCACCTTGTTTCAATTTGTTTCTTTAGGAGGTCTGGACCTCTCTAAAAATACTCTGCTGTCCATAGATTATTTTTCTTTTTGGAATAATCAGGTCGATAACTCCCATCCTTGCCTCTACATAGGGGAGGGATTTCCACTTGAAGGTTAAACATGAAGCTACCTTATCATACTCAAGTGCCTTTAGCAACTCTGCTTTGACCTCTCATTAACCTGATGGAACTACTGTACATTGAAGTGAACCCATGGAAATTTGGGCAACGATCTTAAACAAATGTTAAGTGAGTTGGAGCTACTAAGGAAGCTTTATAAATGTAGTTAGAAATTGATCATGTGCAACGTACAGAAGTTGTTTCTTTTGGGTCACCCGAAATACCTAGCAGAGGCAACGCTAATTATCCAACTTTAAATGGCAGTTCTGCGTTTGTATTTTTTAAGGGCTTTTATCTAGAGGAACCGGTATCATCTGTTACCTCCTTGTTAGCATTTAATGTATATCATCATGCATTTGGTACATGAATAAGAAGTGGTATCATCTGTTACCTCCTTGTTAGCATTTAATGTATATCATCATGCATTTGGTACATGAATAAGAAGTTAGATAGTAGAGCTTCAAATATCGTATATCATCATGCATTTGGTACATGAATAAGAAGTTAGATAGTAGAGCTTCAAATATCGCATCTAAGTTTTAGTATCTAACCACTTTGAAAACTTAGTTCGGTAGTTCAATGCTGGGTCCTCCTATTGTATGGTTCTAAATATGAAGATGTGGCAGCATTCACCATTCTTTCTCTGTACAATTGCTGCAATTTTATTTCTATTATTCCTCTAAACTTCCTGAATAGTTATTCATTTTGATGGGTTTTTAAGAAGTTCAAATTAATTTTCCTTTTGCAGAAATTTCTGAAGTTTGTAGTATCTTCTTTCGTAGTAAAGCCAAATTTATCCAGGGATGCATATCCATTTGAAACACAATTATTTACTGGTAAATTTTCTTTTCACTTTGGATTGCCCTTAACATTTTAAGTATGCATTTCTGTGTTACCATTGTTATTCTTATTTCTTACAGTGAAAGCGAACGTATCATGAGCAGTGAGCTGATTACCTTATAGGAATTATTAAAATTACTCCAAAATCATCACAATTGTTACTTACCCTGCAATTGTCGTCGACCCTTAAGTTTATCCTCTGTTATAACTGTTAGGAAATGTTTTTGGGATCTTACCTTATATATTTTAAAAAAAAATTAACTATTTTTGTATATTACTGAAATATTCTTAATTAACCTTATTAATCTAAAGAACAACATCCTACGTCCTCTGTTGTGGGAGTGGGTCTTTGACTCTTTATTGTCCGCCTATTTCCTTGCTCGTCTTTCATGTTTGGACTGTGGCGTTCAACCACAAGAATATTGGTGGTTAAGATGTTGGCTGCAGAGGGCATTCACCAGGATCTTGTGGTTCATCATGCTGGACATTGCAAGTCTTGTTAGCCACAGGGGGTTATCTATTTTATATGACTGCAGATTATTTTTAGAGGCCATGTGTTCCGTATGATTGCTCCTGTTGAGTTCTTTGCATACTTATTGTTGGGAATCTTTTGCTAAATTCTTACTAATGACGTTCATATAGGATGGAGGGGAAGTTTTATCGACATGACAGGAATCCAACATTTAGGATTGGTATTACTGTCCAATAGGTCCAGATTTTCCTTGGAAGTATCAGCATAGCCCACATTATAGCACACATTATAGTTCGTGTGGGGACTGAAATTTGATGTGAGGCAAAGTTCTCTGGGGGATAGTGCTAGAGGAAAGTCCAAAATGTGGTAGCAAAGAGGCCTAGGGTTCGCAAATCTTGATGTGAAGTCATTTGTGTTGGGATGTGACCATGGTCTGGTTTGCCCATGATGGTGGGAATCCTGCTGTTGTGTACATGATTAGCCCTGGATGGTAGTGCCTAAGTGTGACGCCCCTGGTTTCACACAAGGTTGTAGTCTAAGATAAACCCAAAGATGTCAAACCTGTCATGCATCCACACTATGCAATAACACGTTTCAGTGTCACAATAATATCTCTCTAGTAGAATCAACAATAAACAAGTGTATGTACAAGCAGATAGAATAAATATAATAATGCAATGAACATGATATAGAGAAAGAGATCCAAATAATCATGATCATATTCCAACTGAATAAAGTAATAATGCAATGAACATGATATAGAGAAAGAGATCCAAATAATCATGATCATATTCCAACTGAATAAATGAGAGTACAACTGATATAATGAAGTAGAAAGAGATCCAAATAATCATGATCATATTCCAACTGAATAAATGAGAGTACAACTGATATAATGAAGTATCTCAATACATATGAGTCAACTGAAATAATACATAGGCACTCGGCCTTTATAAAATGATATACAACTCTAAATGCCTAAAAATAAACAATATCTACTGTGGAGCACAAATATACTACAAATATAAATAACTAATGACGAGCTAAACTGAGTCCCCGTCTACTTGTGACTTTTTGTGCGCCTGACTCGCTGCCTGGAAAAAGGGGCAACAACGAGCGTCAAATCGCTAGCGAGATCATTTCACTGTTGTAAAAAGCGGCAAAAAACGCTGCTATAGCGTCGCGAATAGCAGAAGCGGGGGGTCAGCGCTACACTTAAGGCATTTGCGGCGAGCTTAAGCGGTAAAAACTGCTTTGTGTTTGAATAGCGCGTAACAACGTGTTTTAGCGCTTAAAAGCGCTAACCCTGCTGTTACCTGCATTAGGTTTTAAACGTGAATTACCCCCGAACCCGACCCGAACCCGACCCACATACCCACTAAACTTGAACCCCTCCCCTTAGTTTCCCGAACCCTATTTGTGCCCTAGCCGCCTCTCACGTACTCCCGAGTCCCGACTGCTGCTCCTTAACTCACCGCTGACGACTTCTATTGCTATCCAAGCTCCAGCGACCTATGTAGCACGGACACAGATCCGACACGGCCATCCGACACAACACCGACACGAGGCAAATCCTAAAAAATAATAGGATACGTGTGTTCGACACGTGTGTCCGACACGGACACAACACGACACGGCTTCATGTTATGTGTGTCTGTGCTTCATAGCCAGCGACGACTGACTTCCATTACCGTCCAAGCTCCAGCAACGACTGACTTCCATTGCCGTCCAAGCTCCAGCGACGACTCACTTCCAGCGACGACAACTTCCAGCGACGACGTCCAAGCTCTCTCCCACTCCCGATTGCATCGGTCCAAGCTCCTCCTCCGACAACTTCCAGCGATGACCAACGAGGCGATTACTTCCAGGCTGAGCAGGCTCCTGCACCAACAACCTCCGACGACAGACTTCCAGGCTTCAACGTCAACATCTCCATCTCTGTTGGCAGCGACTTCGTACGCAACAGAGAAATAAGTAATCAACTCCCCTAAACTAATTATGATGCTATATTTCTTGAATTTCTTCATAATCCATTCATATTTCATACAACAAGCTTATCAATTGTTATTTATCGTCACTGATAATATAAGAAATTTACAACTAACTAATTTATATATGTGATAAATGGCTTGATCTTCATAATGAGCAGCTGCAATCAAAATTTGACTCATTCTGTCCTTCATTAGGTCCAACTTCTAAAATTGTCGGCAACTGCAATCAATAAAATTATTCTAGTTTCTTCATTCATAATAAGCAGTTGCAATCAAAAAATAATTTTTTTAGATTTTTATATAAATTTTCTTATTATTTAGAATATTTAAATATACCGGCCGCTGCCGGCTTTCATCTCGTCGTTGGCTTCCGTATAGGATAGGCCTTCTTCGCTCGAGAGTGTTCCTCGTCTCGGGCTCTTTCCCGTGTGTCTGTGTCTGGTTCTCGCCGCCTTTGTCGTTCTCCCGACCGGATTCCTGGCCTGTTGGATGCAATGCGCCGTTCCGGCCGCTGCCGCTCTTTTACTACGGAGGACGCCCTATTCATTTCATATTTGCGTGATTTTTATATTTGATCGCTATTCGACTGTGCTTTATTTGCCGTTATTTTGCCACAATAGCCTAAGTGGTACCTCGCCACGACGGGCCGCGATCCGCTATCAGTAACCTTGGATCATCTCCATCGCCCCCAGGGGAGGGGGTTAATAGTATATAAAAATATAAGTTAGTACATATAGACATATAAAACATCTATCCTGAACTAAGCGGAAATTAATATTTAGAAATCTATGACACGAGAATGGGTACGTCGAGCGAAATAATCCAAACAAGAAAACCCTCATGTATATACCTCGTATCTCAAATTGTGAATCGCTACATACTAACTCCAAATCATTTGAATGAAAAAAAAAAAAAAAAAACAACACTGTAACAAACCTCATCCAGTACAAATCACGTCAAATCATACTACCCTCGGGTAGATGGTACATTCATAAGTATAATATCCCTAGTCAAGGAAACTCACATAAAATTTACCGTGTATAACAACCTCAGTCTTATACCCTACTCTCGGATAACAAATATGGGAGCATGAATGTAATCTGTGAAATCCTCTATCTAATACAACGACGCTTTTGTAAGGCGCTTACAAAATCCTGTGGCATTACCCACCTTACTCAATCGCTCTGCGAAATAGACATATCACCCTATCCCGGAAAACAATGATGCACAACAGATTGTAGTCTGTTACGGTCTCATTGCAGCATACCAACTAAGCACTCTGAGTGTAGTCTACCGCGATCTCATTGTAATATACCAACTAACTCACTCAAGCATCTATACTATTATGAAATACAATACATATGTCAATTTCTATTATGACAAACTCAAATATATGTTACGCACCTTCCAACGCTCATGTGTGCTTAATATCCATGTGTGTATGTTTGTAAACAATGCACGTGTATCGACGTGCGACTTGTACTACTTTGTGTTCGCGATCAAAAACATAAGAGAAAGAAACAACATATGCAAAATAACCCAGATCGGTCGACCGATCATGTGCCATCGACGACCGATGGTTTGCATAACGTGCACAAAACAACTCTCATCGGTCGACTGGCCTTTGCCCGGTCGACCGATCAATAGGGGTGTTAACAGAGCGGATACAACTCGGATATGACACTTACCATATCCATATCCGCTTATCCATCTCAGATACGGATACAAATATATGTCGGTAGGAAAAATCCATATCTATATCCACCAAAATCGGATACGGTTACAGATATAGATGCAGATATATAAACGGATATGCATGCGGATGCAAAAAGGATATGAAAAAACTAGATAGTATTCAAAAAAATAGTCATATGATACAAAAGAGTTCGTTATTATGTTCATTATTCTGGGGGATAGTGCTAGAGGAAAGTCCAAAATGTGGTAGCGAAGAGGCCTAGGGTCGCAAATCTTGATGTGAAGTCTTTTGTGTTGGGATGTGACCATGGTCTGGTTTGCCCATGATGGTGGGAATCCTGCTGTTGTGTACATGATTAGCCCTGGATGGTAGTGCCTAAGTGTGACGCCCCTGGTTTCACACAAGGTTGTAGTCCAAAATAAACCTAAGGATGTCAAACCTGCCATGCATCCATACTGTGTAATAACACGTTTCTGTGTCACAGTAATATCTCTCTAGTGGAATCAATAATAAACAAGTGTATGTACAAGCAGATAGAATAAATGTAATAATGCAATGAACATGATATAGAGAAAGAGATCCAAATAATCATGATCATATTCCAACTGAATAAATGAGAGTACAACTGATATAATGAAGTAAAAATGAAGTATCTCAATACATATGAGTCAACTGAAATAGTACCAAGGCACTCGACCTTTATAAAATGATATACAACTCTAAATGCCTGAAAATAAACAATATCTACTGTGGAGCACAAATATACTACTAATATAAATAACTAATGGTGAGCTAAACTGAGTCCCCGTCTACTTGCGACTTTTTGTGCGCCTGACTCGCTGCCTGGAAAAAGGGGCAACAACGAGAGTCAAAGCGCTAGCGAGATCATCTCACTGTTATAAAAAGCGGCAAAAAACGCTGCTATAGCGTCACGAATAGCAGAAGCGGGGGGTCAGCGCTACACTTAAGGCATTTGCGTCGAGCTTAAGCGGTAAAAACCGCTTTGTGTTCGAATAGCGCGTAATAGCGCGTTTTAGCGCTTTTAAGCACTAACCCTGCTGTTACCTGCATTAGGTTTTAAACGTGAATTACCCCCGAACCCGACCCGAACCCGACCCACGTACCCACTAAACTTGAACCCCTCCCCTTAGTTTCCCGAACCCTATTTGTGCCCTAGCCGCCTCTCACTTACTCCCGAGTCCCGACTGCTGCTCCTTAACTCACCGCCGACGACTTCTATTGTTGTCCAAGCTCCAGCGACGACTGACTTCCATTACCGTCCAAGCTCCAACGACGACTGACTTTCATTGCCGTCCAAGCTCCAGCGACGACTCACTTCCAGCGACGACAACTTCCAGCGACGACGTCCAAGCTCTTTCCCACTCCCGATTGCATCGGTCCAAGCTCCTCCTCCGATAACTTCCAACGATGACCGACGAGGCGATTTCCAGGCTGAGCAGGCTCCTGCACCAACAACCTCCGACGACAGACTTCCAGGCTTCAACGTCAACATCTCCATCTCTGTTGGCAGCGACTTCGTACGCAACAGAGAAATAAGTAATCAACTCCCCTAAACTAATTATGATGCTATATTTCTTGAATTTCTTCATAATCCATTCATATTTCATACAACAAGCTTATCAATTGTTATTTATCGTCACTGATAATATAAGAAATTTACAACTAACTAATTTATATATGTGATAAATGGCTTGATCTTCATAATGAGCAGCTGCAATCAAAATTTGACTCATTCTGTCCTTCATTAGGTCCAACTTCTAAAATTGTCGGCAACTGCAATCAATAAAATTATTCTAGTTTCTTCATTCATAATAAGCAGTTGCAATCAAAAAATAATTTTTTTAGATTTTTATATAAATTTTCTTATTATTTAGCCCCTGCCGCTCTTTTACTACGGAGGACGCCCTATTCATTTCATATTTGCGTGATTTTTATATTTGATCGCTATTCGACTGTGCTTTATTTGCCGTTATTTTGCCACAATAGCCTAAGTGGTACCTCGCCACGACGGGCCGCGATCCGCTATCAGTAACCTTGGATCATCTCCATCGCCCCCAGGGGAGGGGGTTAATAGTATATAAAAATATAAGTTAGTACATATAGACATATAAAACATCTATCCTGAACTAAGCGGAAATTGATATTTAGAAATCTATGACACGAGAATGGGTACGTCGAGCGAAATAATCCAAACAAGAAAACCCTCATGTATATACCTCGTATCTCAAATTGTGAATCGCTACATACTAACTCCAAATCATTTGAATGAAAAAAAAAAAAAAAAAACAACACTGTAACAAACCTCATCCAGTACAAATCACGTCAAATCATACTACCCTCGGGTAGATGGTACATTCATAAGTATAATATCCCTAGTCAAGGAAACTCACATAACATTTACCGTGTATAACAACCTCAGTCTTATACCCTACTCTCGGATAACAAATATGGGAGCATGAATGTAATCTGTGAAATCCTCTATCTAATACAACGACGCTTTTGTAAGGCGCTTACAAAATCCTGTGGCATTACCCACCTTACTCAATCGCTCTGCGAAATAGACATATCACCCTATCCCGGAAAACAATGATGCACAACAGATTGTAGTCTGTTACGGTCTCATTGCAGCATACCAACTAAGCACTCTGAGTGTAGTCTACCGCGATCTCATTGTAATATACCAACTAACTCACTCAAGCATCTATACTATTATGAAATACAATACATATGTCAATTTCTATTATGACAAACTCAAATATATGTTACGCACCTTCCAACGCTCATGTGTGCTTAATATCCATGTGTGTATGTTTGTAAACAATGCACGTGTATCGACGTGCGACTTGTACTACTTTGTGTTCGCGATCAAAAACATAAGAGAAAGAAACAACATATGCAAAATAACCCAGATCGGTCGACCGATCATGTGCCATCGACGACCGATGGTTTGCATAACGTGCACAAAACAACTCTCATCGGTCGACTGGCCTTTGCCCGGTCGACCGATCAATAGGGGTGTTAACAGAGCGGATACAACTCGGATATGACACTTACCATATCCATATCCGCTTATCCATCTCAGATACGGATACAAATATATGTCGGTAGGAAAAATCCATATCTATATCCACCAAAATCGGATACGGTTACAGATATAGATGCAGATATATAAACGGATATGCATGCGGATGCAAAAAGGATATGAAAAAACTAGATAGTATTCAAAAAAATAGTCATATGATACAAAAGAGTTCGTTATTATGTTCATTATGATTGAAAAGCTAAGATTAGACATCTTGATCATTTAAATTAACCATAAATCTATAATCTAAGAACTGAAACTATCGTAAGAGTATAACCAATATGTATTCGGATATTTTCGGATACAGATATTGGTTTCGGATATTTTCGGATACATTTACAAATATTTTACTACAAAATCATATCTGTAACCATATCCTATCGGTTATAGATTTGAGTTACCATATCTATATCCTAACGGATACGGTTACGAATATTTCATCGGATACAGATATGGTTTGGCACCCCTACCGATCAGAGTGATTTAGTTTTCCTGCAAAACACGCGTCGGTTGACCGAACACCCTTGGTCGGTTGACCGATCGGAGCCAAAATTCTAGATTTTTGTAATTGTTTGAATTGTCTCATAAATTCATCGAAAATTGAAATTTCTCAATAAAACTCATATTTAAAACTTAAATTAACATAATTAGGGTTATTTCTATTGCATGAAAACACAAAAACAAATTTGAGAATTTAACGGAAACTCTTAACATGTTCATATGTGTCATATGTGTAAGATTATCATTAAAACAATTAACTTTAATAAAAAAACTCATGTTAAATCACGTTCAAAACTTAAATCCACATCTGGAAATATATTTTATATTTTTTAAATCAAAAAGGTTAAATCTTTACATCGTGTATGTTTAAAGATGTGATCTTTATACTTAAAATAGGTTTTAGAACCAATCAAATACTGAAATAAAACCAAAGAAAATAGGGGATGAGTTTGGAGGAGATGAAACTCGCTTCAACACGTGCTAGAATCCCCAAATATGCAAGACAGCAAATTCTCCTTCGCCAAACACCGACGATCTCACCCTCTTCTTGGTATTTGCTTCACAAAGCTCCTAAAAACTCACAAAATAAGCTCTAGGGTTTGCTTAGGGGAGAGGATGGCTGCTAGGGTTCAAAAATATGATGAAAAAGAGAAATTTCGGGTATATATACTCATATATATACATGCAAACCCGAATCAAAACAATAAAACTAGAAACCCAAACTTAATAGGAAACTGCCTCCTGTCGGTCGACTGATAACCTTCGATCGGTCGACCGATGAGCAGCTATCGGTCGACTGATTAGAGACGTATTTCAGCCTACAGGTTTTTGTGCACACTTGCATACTTACACTATTATATTATGTGTATATATATACTTAAATCGATCACTAATCGATTTCAAACATACTCATTCATCAATAAATGATATTTATCATAATATAACTCATTTATTACTATTTACCATAGTATTTTCAAAATTATGGGGTTTTACACTAAGGATGCTAGTGAGGCCCAGAGCCAAATGAATGGTCTATCTAGTATATTTGTACTTAAAATGGAGATAGTTGAGACTTGAGATATTTGTCTGACTATAATTCCTGGTCGGAAAGGAAAAGTAAGAGTAATGGCTTTCAGCTGGCCTAATACATGCTTACTTAAAGCTTCTTGGGTCAAGAGTTGTTACTGGCGTACTTGGGGTGTATGATATTGAGTGATATTCCTGTAGGGTGCAAGTTCATAGGAAAGTGTGGTGTCATTCTATAAAGTTTGAAGAAGCCCTTGATTCAGACTTTGTTATTAATAATGTTCCATTTCAAGCAATTATTTAACCAGGAAAGCTTTTCAATGTTGACCGAAGGTCTAATTGATAGGTACCTGCAAGTGTTAAATTTGCTTGATATACATCATTAGACTGCTGTGGATTAGCTTAAGCTTTTGCATAGTGTTCATACAGTTTGTGTAGCCAGTGCCTAGCTAGACTATTTCTATAATAAATTTCTAGGTTCCATTTGGTTTGATGAATATCATCTTCTCATTTCAGCAACCCTCACGAAGATATTATATTGTGGAATTGATTATATGTTAAGTTTGTCATTTCAGAGTGACATGCTGATAAATTTATCAAACTTCTATTCTTATTTAGATATTTTCCGTCTCTTTTTATATCCAGCGATCAGACATCTTAAGGCAAACAAAAATTGGGTCTTATATTGTCAGAATATGGGCATTAGTTGGGCCTAATTGATTATATACAAAAGCAATGATCAGAAGAGAGTAGTGTAGATTTTCTAAAGAGCGCTTCTGGAAACTTGTAATCTAATGATCCGGAAGATTTGTAATATATGAGTTTATGCAGTCAAGAAGTAACAAAGAAAGGTTGTAGGTAAGTTTTGGTTGTGGTATGAGGATACCGGGTGCTCTTATTTACTATAGTAGTCCGGCTCTGTTAAGTAAATATTTCTTTATTGCTAGTATTTAGTTCTAAATAAAGCAGTCTTTTAGAAGTAAATAAAGTATCTTGACTTGTGATGTTTGAGAAATACGGACTTTTCAGGGAGGCAGTTTGTTGGGGGAGTACATCTGAAATCCATCACAATCTATCCAGTAAAATCTTGTGCGGGATTCAGTGTGCAAAGCTGGCCCTTGAGTAATACAGGTACTTTCTTTCTTTCTGCTGTACATAATTTACTTATATACATATTAATTTCTCATTTCCTATCCTATTATACTCCCATACGCATTTTCCCCCGTCATTGTGGATTTAGGAAAGTTTAAACTATTTTTTCCTGTGAAAAAAATAGTTTTTTTTTCGACGTTATATGTTTGACGCAATTTTCACAATCTATTATTTAATGGGCTATAGTTAAGTTTTGTCCAAGTCATTAAAAGTGATTGAGGAGTAAACATCTCATTGTACTTATTTTAAAGCATATATCCTGTTATCTTTTATATGAAATGCTAGATATATCCCGAACAATGTGTGGTTAATATTAAGTTGCTGATGGCAGAAACTACTGTTGTAAAGTGCTATAGCGGAAATATAGATGGAGAAACCGACAATTTTATTTATGTCCAATGCTATAAAATTTGTGATGTACCTTTTGCAATGTAGTGGTCCTTGACCAGTATGAGATGGATTTGGAGGACTGAGGAAGTTGTGTGGGTTTGAATTTGAAAGTCTTTGAAGGAATTATGTATGCATGAATATTCAAATGCAGTCAGCTCTTTGAATTTTTTTCGGTATATTGATTATTTCTACTTTTTGATAATCTGTTGATTCTTATACTATTTTGATACTCTGATAACTTCAAAAATGAAACCTAGTGTGATCCCTATATAAATATTCCTAACACGATCGATATTTTCAAGTTTATCTTAGTTCAATTATTTATGCTTCTATTGTCAGATTAAAATTTTCGAGTTGAACTATGCTGGTGTCAGGAGCTTAAAAAATGTGGACACTATTATTGTTAATCTAAGTTTAATATTTGAACTTTAGAATTGCGACTCCACACCATTAGATATGATCTACAACACATCAACTATCTAGAAATAGAATTTTGAGGGCTTTTAACATATTTTATTGATGTATTATATGTTGTTAAAATCAACATTTGAGAAATTTTGTGAAGTTTCTTATTTTAACCTGTGTTACATGATTAAAAAGACATCAAAATCATTGCAATTTTTGTATCTTGCTGGTTTATGGGTATTACATCACATCTGCTTGAATTTCTAATTTGGAATCAGAATTTCAGATTTACATTGGATTGATAGTATGCACTTAATGGGTACTATTATAGTAGCCTAGCTCAACTCGAAATCTTCGGATGTCAAGGTTCTCTTCACAAACCTACTTGTAACATGAACTATTTGTGTTTGCTTCTTTAATTTCCTACGTATAATTAATTAATACCCAAAACGTCACTTAAATCACAAAAATTATATTCGCCTTGAAAGGTGTGTTTGCAATTGTAGTAACATTGTTGTTTTGTAACTATGCTTTTTTTATTATATTTGATTTCTCATATCCGTTTTGTATCCGCATGTATATCTGCTTAAATTTCTGCATGTATATCCTTGTCCGTATCCGATTTTAGCAGATATGGATATGAAATATGAATTTTCATTACTAAGGCATATCCGTATTGACGGATCCATGTAAGTGGGTATGGTGGCAGATGGCACCATAAAAATTTTGATTTTCAATTAATAGGTATAGAAATTTATACTGGTACCCTTGTACAATTTATATAGGTGCCCCCATAATTTGGTAGCCCAAACAATTATGAAGAATTATTGTTGGAACTTAATTGTATTTTTTTAGCTTTTGTGATGAAAATGAAAAAGATCATATATTAATATGAAAATGATATTGAAAAATGTTATGTGTTGAGATCTTTATGGCTATTGTATAAATAAAAATTTCAATTGGTAGAATATATATCTTATATGTTATTATTGAGATCTTTATGGCTATTGTATAAATAAAAATTTCAATTGGTAGAATATATATCTTATATGTTATTAGTTTTTTTTTGGTCAATGAATTTTTTTTTATTCATTTCCCAATTTGTAAAGTTTGTATACACATCAAATCTCACTAGTTTTTCTAGTGAGAAACAAGAATTCCAACATATCTATGTTAGATTACAATCCTCCTATCTTTTCCTTTACATAATCAAGTATATCTTTATTAAGCACCTTGGTTAAAATTGAGATTTTTACCTCCCTAATCAGTTGGACTGGAGTGTGATGTTTCCCTTGAAAAATCCTCAAATTCCTTTCCTTCCAAATCCAATAGACAGTTGCCGAAAGAGCCATTCTTTTCCCTTGAAAAATCCTCAAATTCCTTTCCTTCCAAATCCAATAGACAGTTGCCGAAAGAGCCATTCTTTTCACTTTCTTCATATATCCCTTCCCTTTCAGTTCAGCACTATACCAGTTCACCACCTGATCCCAGTTGCATGACCTCCTCGAGTAACATAACCACTCCATGATTCCATTCCAGATAGCTGCTGAGTATTGGCACTCGAAAAACAGATGTTTACATGTTTCTTGCTGAGATGCACACAGGGTGCACAGGCTTTCAGTTATCATCCCCATCTTGCATAGTCTCTCCTTAGTTAGCAGTCTTGAGTGGTTGGCTAGCCATAGGATTACTGAGTGTTTAGGGTAGTGCAGCCCACCCCAAATTGAGCCTGACATTGTATCAATAGGAGTTGTTGAGTGAGTCAGGGCTTTATATATCTCAGATATTTGGATTTTCCCATTATCATAGCATTCTTTCATAACTCTCTGCAGATTGTTTTTATCACCAAATTTATTGAGAGCCAAGTCTCTAACCTTGAGTAATTGTCTCCACATCCAAGAATCAGTTCTTCTTGCTTGAACTTGCCATATATCCACTTGGTGTATGTAGTTTTCATGCACCCATTTAATCCATAATATATCTTTTTTTGTATGAATCATCCATAGTAGTTTCATTGCAGCTGCATAATTCCATGTTTTTGCACTGTATATCCCCAGACCACCCATTTTCCTGTCTGTGCATACATCTCTCCAAGATATCAGATGCATTTTGCAGTTCCATAAGAAATCAGAGCATAACTTGTCTATTTTCTGCAAAACTCTTATGGGTAGAATGTAACTATTTGTCCAATAATTCTGAATCCCCATAATAACAGTTTTAATTAACTGAATTCTTCCAGCATATGACATTTTTCTTCTGCTTTGCCATCCTTGAATCTGTTCTGAAATTTTGCTAATCAGATTTGAGCAATCAAGATGTGAGAGTCTTTTAGAAATCAGAGGCATCCCCAAATATCTAATTGGTAGAGAACCTTCAGAAAAGCTCAGTAGAGAACATATTTGGTTCTTGACATTTTCCTCAACCCCTCCCAGATAGACAGCACATTTATTGGAGTTTGCTTCCAATCCAGAAACTCTACTGAAGTCTTGAAGACAACTATTCAGTTTACTAATAGACTGGATACTTCCAATCCAGAAACTCTACTGAAGTCTTGAAGACAACTATTCAGTTTACTAATAGACTGGATATCAGCTTTACTGAACAATAGCAAATCATCCGCAAATATTAAGTGAGTTATCCCCAAGCCAGAGCATCTAGGATGGTATTTGAACAGGTTATTAGTTCTAAGCTTCTTCATCCTCCTGGACAAATACTCCATCCCAATAACAAATAAATAAGGTGATAGAGGATCCCCCTGTCTCAGTCCCCTTGCCCCTTTAAAATATCCATGTAGAGATCCATTAAGGGATAGTGAAAATTTTGTAGTAGTTATACAGGTAATAATCCATCCAATCATTTTTTCTAGAAATCCCAATCCTGTCAACATAGCTTTAATGAAATCTCAGCTTATTGTATCAAATGCTTTTCTCAAATCTATGTTGAGTGTAGCTCTCGGGGATATATGTTTCCTACCATAATGCTTTACCAGTTCATGAGCAAGTAGAATGTTATTTGAGATAATCCTTCCTTTGACAAAGGCACACTGTGCATCATTTACTAAATACCCAGTGACTTTCTGGATTCTAGCAGTTATTACTTTCGAGATCACTTTGTAGACACAATTACAGCAGGAAATTGGTCTAAACTCAGATGGTGAGCTTGGATTCAGAACTTTAGGAATTAAGGTGATGGTAGTTGTATTGAGAGAGCCAAGTAGCTTACCAGAACTAAAAAACTCCTGAACAACCTTGATCATGTCTGCACTAATAATATTCCAAGTGCTTTCGAAAAATGATGCACTATAACCATCAGGTCCAGGGGCCTTTTCATCAGAGATAGTAAAAACAGCATGCTTGATCTCTTCATTGGTGATTGGAGACTCCAGTTCATTTCTATGTCTATCCATAAGAATGGGACCATCAGAGATGACTGCAGGGTCTGGTTCTAGAGTATTCACTTTTCTCCCAAGCAAATTTTTGTAATATTCAATAAATTCAGTAGCAATTTCAGGCAAATCTGTAATCCTCCTTCCATTCTCTGAATAGAGTGTTAACACTCTATTTTGATGCCTTTTAGCTTTCATGATTGAATGGAAATATTGTGAGCTTCTATCCCCATGCACAGCCCAACTGATATTTGCTTTTAGCTTTCATGATTGAATGGAAATATTGTGAGCTTCTATCCCCATGCACAGCCCAACTGATATTTGCTTTTTGTCTATGAAATGATTCTTCACATTGAAGCAGCCTGTTATATTTTTGAATGCATTTTTTCTCCTGAGTAATTAGACTTTGCTTTAGAAGATCCAAACTCATCTGATTTTGTACTCCTAGTAATTCCTCTTTAGCTCTTGCAACTTGCTCCCCAATGTTCATGAAGTGCTTCTTATTTAACTCTTTGAGGACAGGTTTCAGCATCTTAAGTTTAGAGTAAAACTTGTACATCTTGTACCCTTTTATCTCTTGACCCCAGACATAATTCACAAGTGCTAAGAAGTCAGGATGTTTTGTCCACATTTTATAGAATTTAAAAGGTTTTTTCCCTTGAAAATCCTCATCCCCAACAGATACAAGAGCTGGAGAATGATCTGAGCACATTGGTACTAGAAATTCCACCTGGCTTGATGTATAATGATGCAACCATCTATCATTAATCAGAATTCTGTCTATTCTGCTCCAGACTCTAGTATTAGCATCTTGCTTATTATTCCAAGTGTAAAAACATCCAATAGATTTGATGTGAAGAAGTTGGCTTGATGAAATAAAGTTTTGGAAGTCTTCTGTGTCAGCATCTGAAATAGGAGCTCCTCCCATTTTTTCTTCAGCACTAATGATTGCATTAAAATCTTCACCAACCAACCAAGGGCAGTTTACATTTTGTTTGATTTCCAGAAGATCCTGCCATAATTTTTTCCTATTCTCCCTTTGATTTGAGGCATAAACCACAGACATTAGGCATGATACTTTTCCATTTTTCAATTGGACAGAGCAAGTCAGGCATTGATCAGTTGTGCTTATACTTTGAACTGTCATTAAATCATTGTTCCAAAGTATCCAGATTCTCCCATTACCAGCTTCCTGAACATTTGAAATCCAATTCCAGTCTCTAGCAAATTTCTCCAGATTCTCCCATTACCAGCTTCCTGAACATTTGAAATCCAATTCCAGTCTCTAGCAAATTTCCTGGCAATATGCTCCATCTTTACCAGCTTCCTGAACATTTGAAATCCAATTCCAGTCTCTAGCAAATTTCCTGGCAATATGCTCCATCTTTCCTTCCTTTAGTTTTGTTTCTAGAAGAGCTATAAAGGGAATATTGTACTGATATATAAATTGCTTTACAATTAAATGCTTAGAGGATTTGTTAAATCCTCTAATATTCCAAATGGCTAAATGCATTTTATTGATTCCCCCCTGTCAATATAACAAGGGTCAAAGTCATATACCTATGGATCTAGTGGGGAGAATTGAGTTTTCTGATTTGAATTCCCAGCAATGTTGATTGTTGTTCTTCTAGCAATATGTGCTCTACTCACACTTGTGAATCCTGATGCATTCACAGTTGGGGATTGATATACATTTGTAAGACATGGGCTACCATGTTTTATGCCTTGTGCACCTGGTGAGCTATTATCTATAGCTTTACCCTTGTCTTTTAAGCTGTGCATGTTTTCTGTTGTTGCTGTGATATATTGCACCCTTCCTTACTCATGCTATCTTTTCCCTGAGCCTCATATGCAGATTCATTATCAGGTAAAACCTGTTGCACATCATTTTCCTTTTCAGCATTAGTATTCAATCTATCAACCTGCACCTGAACACTGTGCGTATCAGTCTGAACATTATGTGCCTGCACAACTTCCTTCTGTCTATTAACAGGAACCCACATTTTCCTTCCCTTTTGCCTCCTGCAATATTCAGTATCATGTCCCACAATATTACAAACTGTGCACCATTTTGGCTTGAGTTCATATATGACATTTTGCCTATACTTTTTCCCATCAGGTCCTTGTATTTCAACTGTGTCAGGTAATGACTCTTTCAAGGGCAGCTTCACTTCCAGTAAAACCCTAGCATAGCTTAGCCTTTGCCTTGTTGCTGTAAGCATGTCAGTTGTTATTGGACATCCAATAAGACTTGAGATTTTGCTAATACCTGTAGCACTCCATAGGTCGAGCTTTAAATTTGGAAATTGTACCCATAATGGATAAGAACAATCTTGTATTTTTTCCACTTCAGAGTCATTGTACCCATAATGGATAAGAACAATCTTGTATTTTTTCCACTTCAGAGTCAATTGACCAAGGCTTGAGAACCAATGGCCTTGAGCCAAAAAACCATGGGTATTTTTTCCACTTCAGAGTCAATTGACCAAGGCTTGAGAACCAATGGCCTTGAGCCAAAAAACCATGGACCTGCATCTAACACTTTTCTCATCTGCTGTTCCGTCTGGAAATCAAACAAGAAAACACCTGATTTGATCAAAATGATTTTTGGAATTGAAATTCTCCCTCAAGCTTTATTTACATATGCTTCCATGGATTTGAATTTTGCATTGAATCCTATAACATGACCTACTAAAGCATTTTTCCAGTAATCAACTCCTTCCCTCCATTCCATTTCAGTAAAAACTGCGGCATTAGATTGATCAGATGGTATGAAATTAAGAGACAAACCTTTTCCAGGTTTTCTATTATCTGTAAACAAGCTAGCAAAGGATTTCTTCTTTCTTTCACTTTCCTTTGTTAAATCTATCTCATCTTTCGATTCATCATTCTTTTCCTCCAGATTGATTTTCCCATAATTTTTTGAAGATTGAGCTGCAGGAGTTGTAAGAATCTCAACATTGCTATTAATTTCATCACAATCTTCATCATTCTCTATATTCAAATCATCTTCTATATCTTCAGCCCAGGAGATTGAGTTAGGACTCTTACTAAGTTGTCGAGTAAAGGTAGAGTCAGATCTGAGATGAACTTGAGCAGGATCAGAGAGAGAGGTAGTTCTAGCCAGTATTTCCTCCATGAGCACTCTCTTCTTCGCCCCAATCGGACCTGTACTCCCCATTAGTTCCATCGACGAATCCTCTCGAGCTTCAACTGTTCCATTGCTTTTCTCACTATTTTCGATTCCCTCTGTTTCCTCAGATCTACGAGTAGACGAAGAGGAGGGGAAAATGAAAATAGAGTCTCTCAGAGTAGCACTAGGAGTCCCCTTGCTCCCAATTTTCTTCTTCCTCCTCATTAGATCTAGACGGAGGTGCACAATAGCGGGAAAATTTTCGCGCGCTAAAATGCACCAATAGAGACCGCCACTTTTTTTGTATCCATATTTGTCGGTATGGATATGGATATATGTTATTAGTTTATATGCATAATTGTAAATGTGCCCTCAATGGAAATTTTTTCCGGATCCGTCACTGTATATCTATATCTTTATCCTTATCTGTGATTGGTAAGCTATTATGGATATGGCAACTGATAAGTATCATATCCATGTCATGTCTGAAACGTATGCACCTTTAAATCCACTAATCAAATACTTATTTCCCTGGATCGACTGGTTACCTCGGTAGTAATATCGGAACTGTTTGTTTCATAACCACCAGTGGTGATACGTGAACGTTATGTTTTCACAATCACTTGATAGTTGATGCATGACGAGAAGGTTCCTGGAAAAAAATGGTCTTTTACTTGACTGGTTGGGTTTATCTGAAAAAATATATTACTTTAGGCATTATTACGTACCTTCAGATTAAATTGAAAACATATAACGTTCACGTATTAAATCCACTAATCATTAGCCATGTCATGTTAAAAGATATCCAATATATAACATGTGTATTCATGAAAGAGTAGGAAGGGATTTTACACAGATTAAATTGAAATGACAAGAAACAATTGAATGTAATAAGAAAAATACAGGGAATGAATGTCAAACTTTCTCACAATATCAGAGCTTCAAATATTGGATTGCGTACTGCATGTTCTTGATAATTAATTAACATCACCGATAAGACATAAATATGTTAGGATTGTGTCTTTGATTCTTTGTATAACTTCATGAGAAATAAATAGGGTTAGAGATCTATCATGATTAGGAGATTGAATCTCATTATGATTAGGAGTTTGAACCCTAATCATAATTAGGAAGTTAGGTGAGAGATAAGGTTGTGATTTTCCTATATATATTCTTCTATTGTTGGAGGAAAAACCAAACAGGTGAGAGAAAGTTAATATTCTTGTAATTCAGAGTTAGCAGAGGGCGTAACCTGATTCAACAATATTGTGCGAGAGGTGAGGGTTTCGTAGTCTTTGTCCGTGCAAAAGATTACATCATTAGGAGAGGGTTTCACAATCTTTGTCCGTTCAAAAGATTGTAAGGAGAGGGTTTTGGAGCGAATATGAGAGTTGATTATGTATGTGTGGTTAAGAGATTGAGAGACGAGTGTTGAGTGGTTCCTCTTGTAGTTCTTCCTGATACATAGTGGATTTCTCGCATTGTTGCCTATGGACGTAGGTCGAAGTTGGTCGATTGGACCACGTAAATCTCAGTGGTTTTTCTTCTTGATTGTGGTTGTTTGATATCTTATTGATTGTGGGTTAGCTTCCAAGTTGCGGAGATCGTAGTAAGCAGGGAAAGCTAAAATTCCCCAACAAAATAGAGTAGTTAGTGGATTAGCTAGGTTACCTGCTACCTTGAAAAATAAAGCCAGCGCAGCCTCTAATTACTCTCAACTAACTCTAAATTAAAAGGAATCAGAAAAGAAATGACCACAAGCTCCTCTTGAGAAAAGTCATATCCGCAATCTAAACATCGTAAGCTTCGCCTTTAAGAAAAATTTAAGTTCGTACCTTTTATAACTACCCCAGGGGCGGATCCAGGATTTCAAATAAGGGTTGTCATTTATCAATACAAAAGTAAAGGAAAAAAATCAAAAGAAACCAATTAAAAATATTATATAATCAAGAAATAGTAATATTTTAAATTACAACTCAAATTTAAATATCTAATGCTAGTCCAGATGTAATTGCATTCTTCTGTTGTTCATAGCTTGAAAGCGCTTGATGATATCAACATCATCAATTGTGGAAAACACTTCTTTCTCCACAAATGTTACTAAACAATCATTAAGCCACGGGTTTGACATTTTGTTCCTCAGCTCGTTCTTCGCATAATTCATTATTTTAATTACTAGTCACATTCATGAGAAATTGAGAATTAAATCTTTCAAATAGACTAATAGAGGAAAAGTTTAAACATACCTGAAATTGGCTCAGCTTTGGACTGCTCTGATTTAATTTGTGAATATTTAGATAAGTTTATGAAAATTTAGGATTTCTAAATTTTAGAAGAAGAAAAATAAAAAGGATAAGGGAATGGCCTAAATTGAAGGGGTGAGGGGATGAGATCGTGATTCGTGGTCAGTAAAGGAAGGGGAAAGGTCTCCCCGCTCCCGCCTCTTTTAGTTTTTTAACATGAATTGCCTAATTAATGAAAGGAATGAAAAAAAAATTGAGGGTATGCAAAACCACTCGAACCCGCAACCTCTAATAGAAATTTCAAGATTTTTACCATCTCAGCTACATATTCATATTGTCTTGGGGTTGTCATATGCATACTATGACAACCCCGTAAATCCGCCCCTGTTTGGTTATTAATTTCAATATATTTTTATTTATAGTGTTGTGTCACATTAAAGTTACATGTATTTTTGACATCAGCTTCTCATGTGAACTGAGCAACATGCTTCTTGGTAAAATTTTATGTCCTAATACTTTCCTATAATTTTTAAGATTGGAAAAGCTATTATTATTTGCTTAATTGCTATTTAGGAAGGTTCAGTTGCAGAATACATAAGAATGCAAAACAGGGATAAGATACATATCAAACAAAAAAGAGACTAAACTATCAATAAACATATACTCTGTTCTGGTTAGAACTTATATATTTTTGAAAGAGATGAATTATTGGGAACATCTTGGTACATATAAATTGTTGCCTAGTTAATATTATTATCATTATTCCAGAATTTGATCATGTTTGATAGTATAACAATACATTATATCAAGTTGTTAATTATAGTCAAGAAAGGATATCGAATCCAAATTCATGTGTAATAAGCAATCGAAACAATAGATCTGAAATATACGATTTGGAAGCCTTTCATCTAATAAAATTATCCAAACAAGTGATGTGTTAATATGTGGATTTCAAATTTTTAGATTTCAAATCCTTTGATTTTAAATCTATACTTCAAATCCAAATCTTATTTCTCAAACACAAACTTTGAAAACAAAAAATAGTGCAATGTTCTAAATCCTAAATTATGTTTGGTCATATATGCTTTTGCTAGTAAATCAAATGTATCATACTACAAATAGATTATAACTTTTTCAGGTGAAAAAAATAGAAAGCAATTTATTTACCTACTTTAATTGTCAAAAGAAATTCGTGATAAATATTCAATATTTATAATTCTCCACACGAAACTTGTTCAAAAAATAAATAATAATAATAATAACAGAATAAGAAAGAAAGAAAAGGGAGAAAAACGCTTTCTAGTAACCGTTTTTATTTTCTGATCCCATTCTGTCTGTCTCTGCGGCGATCCTAGGGTTCCTTTTTCATCCATGTCGCCATCCCAGTTGGAGGACGAAGAAGAAGTCGAGGAAGAGGTTGAAGAGGAGGTAGAAGAAGTCGAGGAGGAAGAAGAAATTGAATACGTCGAAGTCTCTGAAGAAGAGGAGGAAGAAGAAGACCAAAACCCTAACCCTAATCAGAAACCGAAGCCCTCGGTCCCCGAATCCATCACCAACCTCAAATCCCTCCACGGCGCTCTCTCCGACTTCCTCCTCGATTACAACTCCCTCCACCAAACCCTAGACTCCATCAATTCCTCCCTTGATGCCGTCTCCACCATCAAAACCCCCACCAACTCCTCCCTCAATGCCGTCAAAACCCCCGAACCCGAAGCATCTTTGCCGGTTGCCGAAAGGCAGGACTCCGAGGTCGAAAGCCTTTGCCGTTCCAACGCCCCCAAAGCCCTCCGCAAGTACATCATGACCCACTTATCCGAGATTGATCGCCTCCGTCGGGAGGTCCCCGAGGCCCTCAAGCTGGCCTTCGTCCCTGAAAAATTAGTTCTTGAAGCAATGGGCAAGTTCTATTTGCAGGGATGCAAGGCCTACGAACATGGAGATTCTAATGCCATTAATTGCCGTCGTGCTGGGATTCTACTGCTGGAGTTCTATTTGATTGCGGGGTGTCCTGTGGCTTCGGCATCGTCACAGTCAGTTAAGGGAGGCGCTATGGATGCTGCAATTTCATGGAGGAAAAGGATTATTAGTGAGGGAGGGATTGAGTCTGCAAGCGCTGTGGATGCTCTCGGGCTTGTTCTTCTGGTTGCGGCCTTCGGGGTGCCTGTAGAGTTCAAAGCAAAGGAACTGTACACTCTTCTGAGATTGTGTAATTTGGCGAAGAATGGGGATGTTCTGCGCCGCTCAACCATTCTTGTTCAGAAGGTTCAAGGTAATGCCCGTGGCTTTTTTCTCTTGGGGACTTGAGCCTTCGTTCTTTCTTTAATATGGCTATCCCAGCATAGTTCATACCGACAATAACAACAACAATCACCAAGTGTTTATCCCAAACTTTTAGGGTGGGTCACTTTAATCATAGTATTTAAGTTTTTATATTGGGCAATCTCTTCCGTTAAGTTAAATATTACCATATCCTTATGAATGGCTTCCACCTAAGTTCTTTTAGGTCTAGTTCTAGATCACTTTACCCCATTAACTAAATTATTACACTTTTCTCAACCATGACAAAACCATGTCAACTGATTCTTCCTCATTTCATATGCGATAGAAGTAGCACCTAATCTTCTAAGGATGTACATTTCTTATATATCTCCACAAGACCATCTTATTCTTATTTCTGCTGCAATCTTTTTGTAAATTTTGGCTTAACTGTCCCGCTTTTTGATCCATAAAGCATTGTTGGTCTTATAACTTGTCTTATAAAAATTTCCTTTCAGTCTCATTTGTCATTCAATTCTTGCTTTTGAACAAAGGATACAAAAGTGCAAGTGAAAATGAGTTTGTTATTCTCGCTTCATATCAAGGTTACCAAAAGCGCTAGGCATCCTAGGCGTTGGACCTATGCCTAGAGCCTAGACACCTAGGCGGTTTTCATTTTTTAATTTTTAATTACAATATTAATAGTCTACCAATGTTATAGAGAGCTTAGTTGTCGGACTAGCGCCTAGGTGGATTTTCTTTTCCGTTTAAGTGGTAATGGCGGAGGTTTTTCTAAAGGTCAGAGGAGATGTTCATAATTGGAGGTTAGAGGAGATGTTCATAATTGGAGGACGTGGAGGTTGTAACGGAGGAAATAACGATCAAGACCTAAAGGTTTCAGTCCAATAGGCAGATTGCGCTATCCTAGAAAGTCCTAAGACCTAAGCAGACATCCTAGGTACCGCCTAGGCATAGGCGTATACCTAGGCGGGCAAGCCGGAGGCTTTTTAAAATATTGCTTCATATCCTTTTGTTATTCAAATATAAGAATGAGAATAAGCATTTTTTTTATCATATTTATTCCATTCCATATCTTATTTCACTCAATTCTCACTTCACTATGTTATAAAAAAAGATGCTCATCCCTTAACTCTTCTTTGTGAATGTTTATTCTGCAAAATGTGAGAATGAGGATTCTTTAGAGTAGGGCATTCTGACTTAAGAAAATGCTCGCGTTTGGTACGCAAGAATGGGAACTTGGGATAGACATTTTATTCTAGCCCGTGTACCAAACAAGATGTAGATAGTAGAGATGTTAGAATTATTGCAAGGAATCACATTTGACTCTTGCTCTGCAGATTAGCCAAATAGGAAAAAAAACCTCATTCCAATCTTTTAAATAAAATAATAATTATTGCAAAGGACAAAACTATGTGAACTGGAGAGGAAAGTGAATGTTCTATTTATTAATATTCTTAATAGCATACATGTGATATCCTCTATACACACACATGAGTTGTCATACAGGATAAACAGGAGCGGTTACATAGAAATGAATAATGATAAGTGATCAAAAGATTAAGAACAATAATATTTAATAATATCATCTAATAATATTTTACATTATCCCTCAAGTTAGAGCGTATATATTGTATATGCACAGCCTGTTAGGCTGTTACTCATAGCAACAAAATAACTAGATGAATGAACTTTAACAAAATAGCTAGAAAAGCATAATATCAAGAATAAATATATTCTCAACCAGAGATAACTTGAGCTAGTAAAATCGTATCGTGATTAGAAGAATAATCATTACTTTTGTGTTCAACAATAGACATCCAAAGTAGTGTATGACTCAAGAACCTTATATGCCTTGAATTCGAGCTATTCTTGTATATGATTGAGCTTGTGAATCCACATGTTGACATGATCGAGACCTTATATTTGACTCTGTGACACTTAACTTGAACCGAGAATGTCGTTTAGGTTTAATTGGACCCTTAATTGGAAAATTCCATTTTGTAGAATTTCAATTAAAGATTCACAATTTCCCTTTCAGTCTCTGATTCATGTATCTTGATTCTTGATCTGACTGTGCTGTTGATCTTTGTTACAGATTAGCCATGTTGACGCTTTGGACCAGCTGGAGCGCGAATTCCGACGGTTACAAGAGTTGAAGACTGCTGGTAGCTCAACGTACACAGCCATTTGGATGGAATCTCGTCTACAAGCATGGCACGACACTCGGGCTTCGGCTGGACTTGAGATTCAAACGCAACAAAGTCGGGTGGATCAAATGGAGGCCTTGGCTATCTTGGGGATGGCGAAGGATGACTTGGAGCGTTCACAAGTTGTGATATCCGGAAAATTGGAGCTCTCGAAACAGAAGTTAGCCAAGATCCAACAAGAGGCTGCGAAAACATTATCCCTCACCGAGGAATCCTTCAAGGTTGCATTGCAGTGTGAGCTTGAGCGAACTTATACAGAGGAATTGACTAAACTTGAAAGACAAGCATGTAGTCACAAACTTCATGTAGATTGATTGTAACTCTTGTACCTGCAAACTCAATTTTATTAATAGAAAATATGTCTTTTTTTCATTCATTATGTCTCATTTATTATGATGTCTTACTCCGTATGGAATAATCAACCACTACGTATGGAATAATCAACCATAATACTTGTGGGATTTTTGGCAAACCCCCAGCCTTCAACGGGTTTGATGAGCCTTTACCGACTACCGTTTGAGTCGGGCTAGTGTGCGGATTATTTTGGATCCGTTCCGCACATAACGTTGCGCTAAGAGAATTAATTCACTTAGACTTGGTGCTATGACTTTGAATACATAGGCTTCGTTTTTCTCGTGTGAGTAGACTAAACGGCAACGCGTGTTAGGCGTTGACTTACCCCTTCTTAGGCTTCGGGGTAAATTCCCCAGATTTAGACTCTGGTGTCTTTTTCAGTCGGCGAAAGACTAAACTGGCGATGTGTGTTAGACATAGACTTTAGGATTTTTGGCAAACCCCCATCCTTCAACGGGTTTGATGTGCCTTTACCGATTACCGTTTGAATCGGGCTAGCATGTGAATTATTTCAACGGGTTTGATGTGCCTTTACCGATTACCGTTTGAATCGGGCTAGCATGTGAATTATTAAAACCTGTTTCACATGTAACGTTACGCTAAGAGAGTTAATTCTCCTAGACTTGGCGCTATGATTTTGAATACATAGACTTCGCCATTTCTTACGGGAATATAGCACCCGGCAACGCGTGTTAGGCGTTGACTCATCCCTACTTAGGATTCGGGATAAAAGTCCCCAGACTTATATTCTGGTATCTTTTTCATTCGGTGAAAGACTAAACCGGCAACGCGTGTTAGGCGTAGACTTATCTCTATTAAGGAGTCGAGATAAAATTCCCCACGCGAGTGAGACACGGATTTTGGTGTTATTAATAACAACCTGCCATAATATTGAATATGTGGGCTATCCCTACTTAGGCTTCGAGATAAAATTCTCCATGCATAAAAGGCATGGATTTTTGTTGCTACGATGCTGAATACGTAGACTCGATCGTTTTTACGGGAACGAACCACCCGGCAACACGTGTTAAGCGCTGACTTATCCCTACTTAGGCTTCGGAATAAAATGCCCCAGACTAGATTCTGGTATCTTTTTCAATCGGTGAAAGACTAAACCGGCAACGCGTGTTAGGCGTTGACTTATCCCTACTCAGGATTCGAGATAAAATTCCTCGTACCTGTGAGGCACGGATTTTGAGAGTTGAAAAAGTGTTGTCTTCTCTTGGGGCAAAGACGAACCCGAAATGGGAGAGGAAGAATTTTATATTCTATCTCTCAACACTGAAGAGGAAGAATTTTATATTCTATCTCCAGTTGGAAAGGAGACTCGAGGTGGGATTTCCACCCCCAGAATCTGGAAAGATGAAACTAGGAGTGGGATCTCCACTCCGAGAATCGGAAAGATTCAAACGACCCTAACTTTTATAGGATTGGTCATTCGATCCAAAAAGAGTCCCTCATTTATTGAGGGGAAATTCCGATTTCGACCCTAAATTTTATAGGTTTGGCTAAAAAAAGGAAAAGATAAAAATCTTTCATTTATCGAAAGTGATAACTCAATCTTAGTCCTAACTATCTGTAGGTTTGACTAAGTGAAGTTGGAGACAATCCTAACTTTTATAAGTTTGATTGCTCAATTTAAAAGTGGAATCGAGAGGAGAATCTGGTTGTGAGAGGGGAATCTGGCTTTGACCCTAACTTTTATAGGTTTGACTTGAAAGCAAAGGGAGTGGAATACAAGTAGCAGTAGAAATACTGGTTTGTACTAGCCACTCGATGGAGGATTTTGATGTTAAGTGATCAGGACTTAACACGTCAAGCTTTGAAAATTGCCATGAACTGGCGGATAGAAATCTTAGTGGACCCACCGTCAATTGATTTGACCAGTGAGGGATTTTGTGAGGAAATGTTGATCTGTCGTCAAACACCAATAGGAGTTTTGTGAGGGAAGATTGATCCACCGAAGCAATCGAATCTCGTCTCAGCAAAAGAGTGTTCGGAAATCACAATGGGGGTTTAGTGTTTATCACTTTGTTTGTAATGATCGGGTTATCCCTAAGAAAATTACATATAGTATTCTTCCGGGAACTCCCCGTTACATGAATCATCCACCCCCAGCTTCTTTGCGAAACTGGATTACATGATCGGGTTATCCTTAAGAATATTACATATAAAAATTCTCCAGGAACTTCCCGTCAACGGTAGGAAACAGTTTAGACTCATATACCAATTGGAGTATCAGGAAGCAATTTAACCTCTTATACCGGTCGGAGGATTAAGAAGCAGTTTATACTCTTATACTTGTCGGAGTGTTCATTCGGCTCAATTGAGCGATATAACGCCGGCTTCAACCAAGTTTTGGATGCTATTCTTAAGAGCGAAGCAAGCCTTGGTAGGATGAAGGATCAGGATGGTCGGAAAATGCTGATGATTTCTATATATTTCCCCTGTTGTTGGGTTTCAATAAGCAGTTACCAGTGTGCGCGAGTCGGCGTGTCGTTGGTAATAATATCTGTTTTGTGCTTTACTTACTCTATTTTATCAAGTTTACTTTGCCTTTTGTTACCATAAGCTAAGGCTCCGATCTAGGCGACTTAAAACAGAAGGAAAAGGAAAATGTATTCCCTCGCTGACCACTGAAGACCGTCTCAAAACACATAGAGCTTTGCTACAGGGACCCAAAATATGGGAACAATAGAGGGGACAAGTGAGGTGTCTCCCTCCTATTGGATAATGAATTGGACATCATTAATGATGGCCAACTCATTATCCAATAGGAGGAAGACGTCTCACTTGTCCCTTCCATTGGTCCCATATTTTGGGTGCTTGAGGAATTTTTCAAACACATAATTGGCTACATTCAGCGGCTAAGGACTACCGCTTGAGTATTATATGTATTCATAGAGGAATGGCGATGCGCAAACAAAATATCACTTTAGACGACACTTCTTTAAGAAACATCCTTGCTCCAAAAAAACAAAAAACTCCTCCAAAAAAGAAATTTTGCGTAGAACCAAAGATATTGCAAACCACCAAAAGCTCAAATTTCCCAAAGGCTTCGAAAGGGAGAAGAACACGCCCCCCGAAGAAGCAATTCGACCGAATTGAGAATTAGGGTTCTGTCAATTAGCAACAAGTTCACATGAATTAGATCAAAACAAAGTGATTGGGACCAAATCAAACCTTTCAAGGGAACCCTAACCCCAGCTGCGAACCCCACGTGCGAAAGTTCTATCCTCCGCCTTGCGCCGACGAAACCGCCGACGACGGCAAAACCCAGTCCACAACCCCAGAAAACCCCAAGTCCCAAACCCTAACCCCAGCATCGAAACCCAAGCCCACACCCGCCCCCAAACCCAAACCCTCCCGCCTCAGCTTCGCCGATGACGAGGATGAAGACGGCGG